CTAAAATGCCATCAAGAATAGCTGTTGCATTATACAACAGATTGGAAAGTGTGAAGGATGAAATGCTCAGTTTATATCACAGAGGCAAATTTGTCTACATATGATCTCCTAGAAAACAAATAGAGATTGTGATTATGGCCTGTTGGGATATTCATTGAGAATCAATTCTGGAACCAGAATTATAGTTTTGCAAAAATTTATGCAAACATTCTCATTTTGCAAAACTCTATTTGACTTGTGGAATTCCATTTTGAAGAAGTTGAAATTTTTTTCATTTACAAAACTTTATTTGGCTCCTTTTCTTTTTATTATTTATTTGCACATTCAAAATTAATTTTTAAAAAATTATTCAAACATCTTCAATTTATCAAATTTATCAAAATTAATTTATAAAGATTTATTTAAATATCATCATGTTCTAATAATAATTTTTTTTCAATTAAACTCCAAACATACCAATGAATCTTTGATATACAAAACATCAGGAAGAGTGACAAGTATTCAAGAAGGTTTCTTCTAACAAAGTAAAATTAGAACAGATCACAGAATTTTTCTCATATGTCCCTATTTTAGGTTTGCTCCAAGAGAACATCATCAATTGTCTAGAACTACAAAGCTCTACTTTTCTTCCATTTTATGACATTTGAGAAGTATAAGGCAGTGGAGTTTTTTCTTCCTATATATTTTTCCCTGTTAATATTACTAGCACATTGAAATGACAATTCCCCCTTACATAAAAAGTTTACTAGAATACAATTGCACATCCTAAGGATCAATATAGGCTGGAACTACAATTATTCTCCCCCGGTCTCTGCTTTGTATACCTTAGATCTTTACATGTTTAGTGCATATTTTAAATTTATGTGATCCATAATAAGGTTCTCTTAACAAGAAAATTGAGGCTATGTAGCAATAGAATCTTAAAGAGTAAATGGAGCTTTGTTGGTGACACCAGCGACAGATGTGAACGGCGAAGTACGAACTGTTTGAGTCGTGCCCAAAAGGACACTATCCTTAAAAATTATTCCGGCACACCTTCCAACAACTGACAGTTCCCTAGGATTAAACAAGCACTTCCTGCGGCAGAACAAGGAAATAGAACAACAGAGACTAAAAATCAAACACAGACATAAAGATGAATACAAGAGCAAAATGCAGAGGGAGGAGAGAATTGCCCCGAAAACTCAAAAAGTTGGTATCCTGTTCTGTCTGCACCCATGGCTATATATAGCCCAGGAAGGAGACATGAACGTTGGCTCATAATCACCGGATTAAAGCTTCAGTTATACTCTCATAAATCACATTTAAGCACTTGTCTAGGGTGATTTATTTGGAGATATTGGCAGACAAAACATTAACTCACAAAATCAATTTTCAGAAGAGGTTTAATGCTAAAAAACTGCTGAGGCTTCAAGTTCAAATTCAAAACAGCAAAATCATATTATTTAATTATTTTTGTAAAAATAACTCGATAAAAGAAACCCATTGCCTCTTGAACTTGCGCGCAAGGGGGCGAATCGGCTGATTTCAACTGCGATTACCTTGTATTGCCCTGTCTCATGTGCGCGAGGCCACTTCTCCTCCAAGCCCATTTTACTGGCCCACTTCATTCCTTAGTATATATACACTAGGAGATTCCTTCTTTTAGTCAATGTGAGATTTTGACACATACACACACTTTTGACACACATACAACAAGCTCTGCCTGTGTAGTAAGATTATTTCTTTAATCAAATTTTGTATGGAAAGACATGTTGTTTTTTCAGGAAAAACACTCATTTTGATTTATAGATTGTTTGTTTGTGTATTAACTTCACGAGGCATTTTTGGTGCACCAAAATCTTGTGAAAAATACTCATTGGTTCGAAATATAATTTTTCATAGGAAGCGATGAATGTTACTGTACATGATGTACTGTAGGCATTTGGTTGCTGTTTTAAATTGGGACATAATGGATCACCAAGGAAAGGGTATAGCGTAAGCCCATCTATAGGGCTTGTTGGTAGTAGAGCTCAGTTGCTTTACGGTTCTAATCCTTTCTAGTTGAGCCAAATATTTGGGGCACTTGGTTATGTTGTTACATCAGTTGAGACCATTCAAGCTACAGGTCAACTTGCGGAAGCTAAGTTAGGGCAACATCAACTTGCTTGCTAACACATTCATCACCAATAACAATAGCAACTTCAGCAACAACTCCAATCCTTTTGGGCAAATCAATACCAAGAAATTGAGAGGGTAATTGATTTCAAGAACCACAACCTTCCCTTGGCAAGGATTAAGAAGATTATGAAAGTCGATGAGGATGTTAGGATGATATCAGCTGAGGCGCTTATTATATGTGCAAGTACAAAGTAAGTTATAATTGCTCATTTTATTCTAATCATTGCCGAAAGGAAAAATATCATTGCTTAAGCTAAAATAATCACTAATATTTATTTTTGGGTTAAAGTATATTTTTCTTCTTATACTTTCCTTGGAGGAACACTGGGCACTATGTATTAATAGGTTGGGCACTTTTTCCTTAAACCATTTTTCAAATGAGCAAAAATCTATCCATTAGTGATTTGATAACGGAGGAGAATTTTTGCTTCTCTGAAAAATAGTTTAGAAGGGAAAATATCTCATATATTAATACAAGGTGGCTAGCATTTTTTGAAGGAAAGTATAGGCAAAAAAAAAAAAAAACCATTTCAACCCCAATAAAGTATCAAAATATTATTTTTTAAATTTTAAATTTTTTAAAATTTTTGATGCTTTTAAATTATGAGTCAATATTTTAAAGTTGATACTTTAAAACTATTTTTAAGAAATTAAATTTCATTAAATATTTCATTGTTAATATTTTTTATTCCTTATATATTTTTTGGTTTTCTTTTAAAGTCAATGGGCTTTAAATATAAAAAAAATAAAGATTATACTTCCTTAGCGATGAAAAACACAAAAATATAATCTTTTAATATATAAATCTTAAGTAGAAAACTATTAGCAAGGACTAAGTAGAAGGAAATTAGATTTAGATAAAATAAAAGTATAATTAATGATTATATTTTATTTGGTATTATTATAAAGGACTATACAAGTACACTAGTTTGGCTATTTTTCTAAATTGAAATGATATTTTTAATATCTTTTATGCATTTTTTTGTAAATATATACATACATATCAAATGTATGCATGATAATATTTTCTAAAATAAAAATACTGATGTATCAGAATTTGATTTATGCACTGTATTTGAGCATTACACTAGGAGTGTTCAACTTGTACTCATCCTAATCGACCCAATTTCATTTCGGTCATATCAAAACAGGTCCTGTCTCAGCCTAAAAATAATTAAGATGGGACTCTGTGAGACGTGATGATAAAGGGATTCAAGATGGGACAAGACATGGGTTACCCTCGAGATGTTCTATTTTATCTCAAATATTATATATATATATATTATTTTTTATTTTAAAAATATACATTAAATATATCAATTACATTAATATAATTTATACTTATATTAATTATAATTTCAATGCATGCGATTCCTATCCAAAGCTAAAAGTTTTTTCTATAGATCATTTTAATGGCACAAAGTAAGTAATATGAGGTAATATATTTTTTTACAATATATTAATTATATTAATATAATTTATTTTTATATTTATCTATATAATAACTTTTATTTATATCATATTTTTTCATCTATTTTTAAAAAAATTATTAACTTAACATATATCAACTAAAAAAAAAGAATGACTTGATGTTGGGTCTAGCTCGTCTGTTACTATTGCTTTATAATTTAGAGATCACTTCTAATTGCTATTATAATATTATGTCTCATATATACTTGACTTTAAGTTATGTATTTATAGTTATGATTAATGTAATTAAATAATTAATTTTGAATTATCGTCATTTATGTACTCATGTTGTTTTAATTATAAATTCAATAAGTTATGTGATTTTAACTTTTAATGAATGTTATTAACCTTGAATTTCTCCCACATTATTCACCTTATTGGGACGTTGATTCTATCTTGATTTCTAATGGAATGATGGAATGACTTTTAAGATGAAATAGGATGTGAGATAAAACTTCAATCTCAATTATTTTTTAAATTTCGTCCTATCCTGTAAACATCCTACATCATATTTCTTAATTTAATAAATGATGTTATCGCACAATCGGTACAAAATGTATTTTACTTATCATCATATAAACATAATTCAAAATGTATTTACTTATCATATAAATCTAATTAAGTGAGTTCTCATACATTTTTTTTTTTGTGAACATTAAGAAATAAGTCATATTGTTGTCATATGTTTTTATAAACGTGCGGATATAAATTTTTAAAAATCATTCATTGTTATTTTAATTTAATAAAAATAAGGCGATCGATTTTAATTTCCCCGAGGTATAATCAAAGTCCAAAGATATGGCTGGTATTTCTGGCCAAAAAAAAAAGGAGAATAATAAAGAGATTTTAAAAAAATCAAGTAATTTATATTATGTTTTAAAGGTTAAATTCTAAAAATTTACAACTCAATTACTCAATTTTATAATTACATTATAATTAATTTTTAACTTATTTTTTAAATTTTAATATAGACCAAATTTATAAAATTAAAAAATTAAATTATAAATTTATAAAATTTTAAACTTAATTTAAATTAATTAATATTTTCGAAACCTCCACGTTATTCATTCAAAATAATATGGCCGGCGCGTATGAAGGAACGCAAAGGAATGTGAGAATTTTTTTTTTAAAAAAAGGACACGCGGTGCGCGTGCGTGCGGTCTTAAGCAGGAATAGCAGAGGGGTGCGTGGGCTATGACCCGTCCAACTCCAAAAAACACAGAGGCTGGCCCACTACAACTTCAGAATCAACTCTCAAATTCTGAATCTCAAGCCCCATCCACCAACCACCGCCTTACACCACACACCTTCCTCGCATCTCATGTTCATTGCCCAATTAGTTACCCCACGCCCTCAAATTCGCGTGGCATTACTCATTCTTTCAACCACGACAAAATCAGAAATTTCTTTTTCTTTTTACCATTTGCTTTTCAAAAATGGACATCTTGTTTGTTCTCTCGGACGTCCTTCTTAATGTGACGAAGAAGGATTCAGTGAAATAGTGAGTGTGAGCAGATCGGAGAGGAAAAAAGAACATGGAGGCTAAGGCCAGAGCTCCAGGGAAGATTATACTCTCCGGCGAGCACGCTGTGGTGCATGGATCCACTGCTGTTGCCGCTTCCATTGACTTGTACACCTATGTATCTATCCGTTTCCCCACTCCTTCCGGTACCCTCTCTTTCCCCCCCTTCCGTTGGCGTGCGAGTGTGTTTGAAATTTTGGAGCGCGATCCCGTTTGGCGTTAGAGTTGCTCGGTGTTTATCTTTTTCCTTGAACCTTTTGAATTTAATTCAACCTGATCGAAATTTTCTTTGGCAAAACATCATCTGCACTTTAATGCTGCTGTTCATTGGAGTTCAAATATCTTTTTGCTATTTGGGTGGGTGGGATGTACTTCTGTTTAATTTTCCAAGAACATTGTTGATATAAGATGATTGAAAGCAGAATGTCTTAGCAAAATGAATTTTGGTGGATGATAACAGCTCGAGCATTCAATATGATATTCCTCTCGGAATGAATCTTTTTATCCAGTACTAAACTGCTACCATTATTTCTTTAGAAATGAAAACAACTATACTAATTTTTGGCTAACTGATTCCCTGAATAAATACGGATTCTCATTCACTTTGTTTATATCATCTTAGACAACGACGATATGTTGAAACTTCAGCTCAAGGACATGGGATTAGAATTTTTCTGGCCAATTAGTAGAATTGCAGAAGTACTACCGGAACCACGCAGTCAACCGTCTTCAGTGCCTGTTTCATGCTCTGTGGAGTCTTCCAAATCAATTGCAGCTCTAGTCGAAGAACAAAATATTCCAGAGGCGAAAATTGGACTTGCTTCCGGAATTTCTGCCTTTCTCTGGCTGTATTCATCTATTCAACGGTGTGAGCCCAATTTTAACTGTTAAATTCCTCTCTTTTTTTCCTTTGCTGTTCTGATTGTGTCGTCCCAAAATGTAGATTTAAGCCTGCCACAGTGGTGGTCACTTCTGAACTTCCTCTGGGTTCAGGCTTGGGTTCATCAGCGTCTTTCTGTGTGGCCCTGGCAGCAGCCCTGCTTGCTTGCACTGATTCTGTGAGTTTGGATGTGAATAACCAAGGATGGTTATCATTTGGAGAGAAGGAGCTTGAATTGGTAAATAAATGGGCTTTTGAGGGCGAGAAGATTATTCATGGGAAGCCGTCTGGGATTGACAACACAGTAAGCACATATGGTAAGGCGTAGCATTTGAGAAAATTTTAATTCTGACATTTCATCGTTGGAACTTGTCTTTCTGCATTTTTTGGGGTCATAAAATGACCACTATTTGAACCTTTTTATGTCGTTGATGAAAAACTTACTTGCATAGAATGAATTGGTACACAATTTGTGGGCTTTAGTAGGTGACCCAACAGTCTGTGCTGGTGTTGTCATAGATCATCAAGATTAGAATGAGATTTGAAGGTCAGACAGCCACAATAGATATTGGCTTTTGCAATTGAAAATTGCATTGTTGTATTTGGTGAGGGAGATTTCTACTAGCCTAACCCATATAAGAATCGAAACAGTGTTTAGTGGGGACCCCAATTTATTTTTATTGAGTTCAGATATACCGCGTGCGTCTACGTTGTTGTCAACATTTCTTTTAGATGTCTCGGATTTGTCTCATGTTTAAGACGAGTTGTTGCTGTTGATGTTTGCAAATGACTCAAAAATTCTCTTATCAGGCAACATGATCAGCTTCAGATCTGGCAACTTGACGCATATGAAGTCAAATATGCCGGTTAAAATGCTCATAACTAACACTAAAGTAGGGAGAAACACAAAGGCATTGGTGGCTGGTGTTGCAGAGCGGACACTAAGGCACCCGGATGCAATGTCTTTTGTGTTCAGTGCTGTTGATGCTATCAGCAAAGAATTGGCTCAGATTATTCAGTCACCCACACCAGATGACCTCTCTGTCACGGAGAAAGAAGGGAAGATAGAAGAGCTTATGGAAATGAATGAAGGTTTGCTCCAAAGTATGGGGGTTAGTCACGCTGCAATAGAGACTGTTCTTCGGACAACCCTGAAGTACAAGCTGGCCTCCAAATTAACAGGAGCTGGTGGTGGAGGCTGCGTTCTGACACTGCTGCCTACCTGTATCCTTCTCATTTTTTATCTTGTCTGTCTAGTGTCTAGTACTTCTGAGGTTCTCTGCTCTATTTCGGTTTCTCTGTTTTCTAACTTTTCCTTTATACTTGATTGATGATTTCTCATTATTTTGCTTATGCTTAAACGATCTCATATACGTGGCAACTTTCCTCTACCTGGAATGTGGATCTTCATTAGTGAACATCAGCATGTTATGGCGTGTATGTGCATAGTCATATCTTAGTGCATAGATACAAGTATTGCACGCACAGCATATAGGTACACTATACTAACAAGATCACCTACTGGAAACAGTGAAGACTGATGATCTCAAGAACTTTTGGGCCATGAACCATCAGTTTCCTCTCAATTTTCTCTCCATCAATTTCCTATCAATTTGAGGAGAGTGTGGGATTTGTTATTTAAAAAAAAAAGAGAGAGAGAGAGAGAGAGAGAAGAGTGTGGTTTTGACCTATTAAATGAGCCTTACACACCCTCGCCTCTCGCTGCTAAGATCCAATTTCAAAGTTCATTTGAAACTTCATTTTATCTTCTTGTTTTTTTTTTTTTTAAACATTCCTTCAGCACTTTGGTCAAAACTACGTTACACTTCTAAATTTTACAATCCGTCTTGCCTTTTAGTCTTTTACTTCTTTTCTGCACTTGCATAAAATTTTATAGGTCTGAGAAAAGTCTTGGATAATTAGCGCACTGAAAAAGAGGGAGAATTATCTAAGAGAAACTCTTAGCCAGGTTTTTGTCGCTGGCAGATGTATTAATGTGCATAAGCGAGCAAGTGGAGCCTTTGTTATTTTTATCTTTCTCCATCTGTTGTTAATTTCTTCTTGCGGAGTAAGTTAATTACGTTTCAGTGTCTTGATATGGATTCTATTCAGAAATATGTGCTTCTTGCGGTTCTTCTTCCTTGACAAGTCCTCAATAGTGCTTTCAGGAACTGTTGTTGAGAAAGTAATATCTGAACTGGAGTCTTGCGGGTTCCAATGTTTCACTGCCGGAATAGGCGGGAAGGGTGTTGAGATTTCCTTTGGGGTTCCATCCTGATTCTTTTTTCATTTCCGGGGAGCGATTTGACATCAATTACCGATGGACCTTTCAAATAAATAGCATGAAAATATATGCTTCTTTTTGCCATCATGTGCCTCAACTTGTACCTCATTATTTTTTTCCTGTTTTCGTTCGCTACAGACTACAGGTTCTCCTTGCGACGACTTGTATCCTTCCTAGTGCTTTTGTTACAATCTTACAAGCAGTTAGTCGATAGTCGATGTTTCCCAATTTCTACACGTCCACTTTCTAGAGATTTCTGAGCGTTGGCATCTTTGAAGTTTGTAGTACTACCACTGTCCACAGTTTCCTGGATTATTTAGGCTTCTAAACCTTCTCAGTAGTTAATTGCCAAAACAGAAAAATCTCAGTTCTCGTCATCCCTTTCTTCCGTGGCCTGAAATTGGAATTTGGGAATTTCTGTGAAGTTTTTTTAAATTCTCTGAAAATGGAATCTGTAATTTTTTGGAACTAGTGAATTTTTGTGAAATTTGCTTCTTTTTTTTAGTATTTTCAATTATTTTATTATTTTTTATAAAATATAAAATCTTTTCTTTCTTTCTTAAGAAAAAACTTCAAAATTGGAATTTAAATCCGCTTATCATTTACATTGCGCTTTCTGATCCATCATCACGGTTTTGAATGTCAATGATCCATGAATAGAAACCATCTTCATAGCAGTAGGTTTTTTTCAAAAAAAAAAAATTCCAGGACCGCGCTTATCATGCCAAAGCTCGATCAAAACAATGTAACAAACTAGACTTCACATTCCACATTTTTTATTGAGTTAAAGTTCCATACGTTTCCCCCCACACACACGCACTTCCACGACGTTACATTACATACTGAACTTTACATGTGACTCACTTTCTACACGTGTACAAGTTCAAAAGGAAATTCGTCTCAACTACAGTGGTGTATAGCTAATAATGATAAAGGAAAACCCTCAGTTACATGATTATTTGAGATCGCAGAAATCACCCATGCTTCAAGCATTAACAATGGTCCCACCTGCGAAGCATAAACAAGAAAACATGTTAGGTTAGAAAAAGGAACCAAAGGACGGCGATGGCTAATTAATTAGAAGCAGAGTAATACCATTGGGGTGGAGGACTTGGCCAGTGATGTAAGAAGAACAGTGGTTGCAAGCGAGGAACACATAAGATGGAGCGACCTCAATGGGCTGGCCAGCTCTCTTCATGGGCACCTCCTCACCAAACTGACAGGTTTCATCCTCCTTGAAGGACGCAGGAATCAATGGAGTCCATACGGGTCCAGGTGCCACCCCATTCACTCTTATCTTCCTGCTCGCCAGTTGCAGCGACAGTCCCCTCGTAAACGCCACTATCGCCCCCTTCGTGGCCGTGTAATCCAGTAGCTTCGCACTCCCTTTGTACGCTGTCACTGATGTCGTGTTAATGATGCTGCTTCCCTCCTTCATGTGCTTCAACGCATGCCTATATCCAAACACCCATCATGTTGTTTATCAGCTATACCCAATACCCAATAAATCAGATAATAAGCGAATATATTCCACCTGGCCATGAAGAAATAAGCGAATATATTGGTTCTAAACACCCTGTCCAGCCTCTTCTCATCGATCTCCTCCACTGATCCAGCCTCGTACTGCTCGGCGGCGTTGTTGATCAAGATGTCGATCCTGCCGTACCTATTCACCACCTCGTCCACAACTTTCTTGCAGTTCTCATCGTAACCCACGTCGGCCGGTATGGCCATTGGCTCCCTCGCATCCGAAGCCTTAGCCCTGTTGATCATTTCAAGCGTGTCCTCTGCGTCTTTGTCCTCCTGTCCCTTCACGTACGTGAAGGCCACGGTGGCTCCTTCCAAGGCAAACAAGTTGCACACGGCTCTTCCTATCCCGGAGTCACCTCCGTAATTAGTGCTATCTTCCCCTGAAAAACCACACAACAAATTAAACCAGTATCACCCGAGGGGGAAATTATTCTTGCCGGCCAACTTATGCGGAATTATTGCATATATATTTACTTGAAGCTTGTTTGATGGCTTGTAATTGGGGCTTGTGAATTGAGGCACAGGGTCCATGGCATGTTCTTTTCCAGGCTGAGTTTCTTGCTTTTGTCGGGGGAATTTCTGTTCACCGGAAGCCATCCTTACTCGCAAGCTTTTGGGAACAGAGGGGAGGATCTCCTGGGTTGATGAAGATGTGGCAGGAAAGCGACTTTTCAAGTGGGTTTTGGGAAGAGGAGGGAAAAGAACTCTGACTGTTAGAGAATCTTGAAGAAGAAAATGTGCGAGCAAACACATGCATGTAGGTGAAATATGCTGCCACTGCTAGCCCTCGAACCGCTTATAAAAGGGCTTTGAAAATGCCACGTGGTGATGGGTGGCAAAAGGAGGTGTCCGCGTGGCGCTTTGATCGCATGCAGAAGAGACATCTCTCAAAAGGAATAGTGGGGATCGACTCGTGCACCGAACTCGTGAATGTCCGTGGCACTGGAAGAGGTTGGAATTGGGTTTAGTTTGTCAAATAAACAAGCCTGGCGGAGAGTTTGGAAGCAAGTGAGAATATCATGTCGTAGAGCCATGCAGGATAGTAGTACAGTGGACTAAACCATCATAAGGGTCCATTTTGTAGAAAGAATGTATTTATTGATAGAAAGGAATGGGAAAAAAAAAAAAAGGAAAGGAGGAGAAAGGAGAAGTTCCACCGTGAGCATGTTTGGTACACAATGGAGCGAGCCGAAAATAGTTTAATGGGTAAATTTGTGTTTTGTAGGACGAAGATAGTGATATGATAGGGAAAATAGATAAAATGACTCCAGTGCCCTTAATACTGAAGAATAATAAAAGAAGGATCAAGATGCATGCTGGGGCTGAAAAATCCTTTCCAATAAATGCATTAAAAAAAAAACAAAGAAGTACCTCAAGTCTATCTCGTAATATTCTCAAATATGGAAATTTAATTTAATTCCTCATACTAATGCAAATAAGTTTTTCTTTGACTTGTGACTGATTAATGGGAATCATTATTGGATATTCAAATTCACTGGTCAAGATTTCAAATGTGCCAATGAGAATATTTCTTTTTTGTTTCCCAAATATTCTCATAATCATATCTTTTAAAAATTTTTAGCACTATTTAAAAGGTTATCCTCTTTTAAATAATATTTTTCATAGATACCTTTAAGAATTGAACTCTCTGAAAATTACAAATTTATGAGAGATAATTAAAAAATTATAATAACGGATATAAACAGTAAAAAAGCTTGTGGTTTTGGGAACTACAAAAAAAGGGAAAGATAAAGTATATTTTTAATTATTTAATTTTATGTAAAATTTTAATTTAATTTCTTAATTTCATAAAGCATCTTTTTAGTCTTTTAACTCTATTATTATTAGTTTGAAATAATTATCTTTTGTGTTAATAATTATTTTCTTAAAAAAATTAAACTTAATATGTCAATATTTGATAATATTTTGTTAATATTGGAAATTTAATATAAAAATTTTTAAATAAAACTAATAATGTTAGGGTAAAAAGATTAAAAAGATACATTATAAAATTAAAAAATTAAAATAAAGTATTGTATAAAATTAAAAGACTAAATATATATCCTAGCCAAAAAATAAAGCTAGAAAAGGCAGGAAACAAATCACAATTATAAAAATTTAATGCCAACTATTTGCATTTAAAATGAGCACTGCTTTGCATAAAATAGGAAACAATTGCATGTAAGATGAAATATCCACTTTATATATTTATATCCATTTTTAAATAGGATAAAGTATATATTTAGTTTTTTAAATTTTACACAAGTTTTAATTTTAATTTTTTAATTTTATAAAATGTTTTTCTGGTCTTTCAATCCTAATATCATTAGTTACATTACAAAAAAAATTATATATTAAACTTTTAAATATTAACAAATATTTTTAAATATTGACATATTAACTTTAATTTTTTTAAAATAATAATGATTAATATAAAAAATAATTATTTAAAATTAATGGTGTTAAGATTAAAAGATTGAAGGGATATTTTATAAAATTAATGGATCAAATTAAAGCCTTTTATAAGTTATATAACCAAAAGTATATTTTAACTTTTTTAAATATGAACAAATTTTAACCACCCAGCATAGCTTAAAAAATGATTAATTCTAATAACCATGCTTTAAATTGAAAATTTTGAATTAAAATATTTTGTCATTAAAATCCTTCATCTTTCCCTAATTTAATACTCCCTTCATTTTCATATATAAGAGAAAATAATTATATCAAATAATTTTAAAAAGTTGGTCAATGATAATAATTGTGGTTCAAAATAAAAAAATACTAAAATACTTGTGTTTACTTAAAATAAGGTTGCATTAATTATTCCTCATTAATACAAATTATGAATTTATGACAGGTAACTTATGAAAATTGTAATAAATGATTATTGAGATTTATGATTTTACTTATAAATAAAAAAAACAAAAGTTTGATGACAATTGAAAGAACCATGGTGTGGTGAATTATTTTACTATGAAAACAAATCTCCTAATATTATTTTATTATATTTTTAAAGGAGTTAAAAATTTGTTATTATTATATTATTTAAACAAGAAAAAACTAACAATATAAAGCTAACATATAAGATGTATGATAGTAAATTAGTTATTACCTCTTCTTCCTTTCTAAACCATATAGATGATCATTAAAAACCCCTTCTCTCCCCTTCCTCTGAACCAAACATAGCTATAGAGTTCAATAATTAACTTTCTTTTTATTTCATAATAATCCTATTATGTTATTAGTGAGTTTGGAAGCCAAGGTGATAATGGAAAGACACTTAAGAACAGGGGTGGAGTCATGAATTTTTATTAAAGAGGCCAAGATGACAAAATATATATGATAATTAAAAAAAAGTTATACATATATCACCGACATAATATAAATATTTTAACAGATATATTTATACTCAATTTTACACATGTATAACAATATATATATATATATATATAATAAGTTTTGCTCATCGATTTTTTATAACATAAAAATCATTAGTTATATGTCTACAATAAATATTTTAGTAATTTTCTTCTCATATAAATTATTATTAAATTGGTGAAATTTTTTTTATACCTATAAACATTAAATGATTTAAATACATTATTGAAATTTAAAGTTCTATTCAATGTAATAAGTTATATTACTTGCTCATTAAATTTACTATTTAATTTTTTTAATTG